TAAGTAACATTCAGTATTCATAAAATGATTTTGAGAAAAGTTCATGAGGAATGTCTTGTATGCTAATGTTGTGAGAGTGTAGTGAATTATGAAGTTTGGATTAAACTTGGTGCATATGTAATTAGTTTGTTAGACAATTATTATTTTAATTTAAGCCTTGACCATTGGGTTGGAACATATAAAGTGTTATGATATTATACGATTGTCTATAAAAGAATTAATCATATTAATATTATTGGTTGTACTATGTCGACTTTGGTAGTTGCTCAAATGATATAGTATCTATTATTGGTTATATTTTTATGTTTGCATGAGGTGTTGTTTCATGAAAGAGTTTCATAAAATCTCTTATAATTTTTCACTATGCAACATGTTTTAGAGCTCGACTTGAGTTATACAATTAAAGAATTTTATTTCAGAGCTTGGAATTGTTAATTTTATTTCCAAACCTATAAAGATGTATTATGATATACGGTTTTAATTTTCTCTATAAAGAATAACAAAAACTCTTATGGTGTTAAATATATAAATTTAAAGTACTTCAAAATTGGAAAGTTGTTAAAGATGATATTCTTTATGAGCACATGTTACAGAATACATACTAATTGATCCTCTGAATAAAGGGCTTGGGCCAAATTTTAGTTTGCTAAATATATTGAGCATATGGGTTGTAATGACCCCCACACTGTCCTGACCACACTCATATGCATTTATATGATTCTGTCCTGTTAAGCTTGCATTTCAAATCTTGTCTTTGTTTTGCTTAAGTGTTACGACATGCTTGTACCTTGCTTGGTGTGAGTTTAGCCCAAGTCATCCTGAGCCTAGGTCACCTTTGAACCTCTTACATCTAAGACCATCTTGGAATTTTACTTCGGTTGACTTCCACCTTCACCCTGGCATGTAGGCCGAGATGTCACTATCTAGGCCGAGGTGTTCATTGCCAAGGCCGAGATGTGTATTATCTAGGCCGAGATGTTACTCTTGAACCCAAGTGATCTTGCTCCTGGATTGGTACGACCTAGACCGAGGTGTGGCACATCTAGGCCGAGGTGTGGCACTGCTAGGCCAAGTGTTGTCCTTTCTAGCCGAGGTCATTGTCCTTTGCTTGCCGAAGTCTTGTTATTAGCCGATGTCATTACTTGTCGGAGTGCCCTTGCCGCCTAGCTTGTTGAATACACTTTGTCGTAAGTCTTGTCTTTTCACTCAGTCACCTTTTTGAAAAGAACCAACCAGCCGATGCCACGTGTCCCAGCTGAGTGTTAAGTCAGCCCACAGACCCAAAATTGTATCATTTGTTATTGTCTTTGTTCTTGAAGAGAGAGAAGCTCTAGGAGAGGAGAGAAGTTCTTAGAGAATGAAGAGATTTCCAAGCTTGATCCTCAGAGCTTTAACCGTTTGATTTGTGCTTTGAGGTTAGAATCTTGATTTACTCTTGTTGTTCTCATCGTTCATCTAGCTGCATTGCATGATCGAGCACGATTTGTAGGCCATGCATTGATTTAAAGTTTGTTTTTAGAAAGAGAAAGTGTTATTCATATGTTCTTGAATAAAAGCCTTGTTTAATCCGAAAGCTTGCATCAAGATTCATGTTTTTGTGTTTGTTTTCATAAGATCTCCAAGTGTGGGTACCCAGGTCCATGTTTTCGAACTCATAGCATGAAAATCCCCGATTTTCAAATAACAGGTTGTGAGTGAGCATTCATGTTTTTTTTTTTTCAAGTTCTTCATATTCATGTTCTTCAGTGGGAAACCCAAATTTTTCCCGATTTCTTTTCCTTGAATGTGGCCATCGGGACCACACCTCGGCAAGGAGGTATGGGACCTTGGCCAAGACCTGGTAGGTGCCCAGCATGTTTTCTCGAGATAAGAAAACTGTGTTTTGTTCTGATTTGACTTCAGACCGGAAGAATGCAGAGATCATCTGTATGCATGTGAAACTTGTTTGAAAGTGCATTCAACAGATTTTGCCATGTGTTTGTAGGACTTGAACTGCCCTGACCCCGACGTTTGAAGAACTATGTGAGTGGTATTTTTAATAAAGCTATATTATAATGTTTTGATAAAAGTCTTGTTTTGCTTTGTTTTGAAAAGTATTTGTAAGCATGAATGGTTATTCCTAGTTGGAAATATGTACTATCTTGTTTTGATGACATTCTTGGAAAGTCCTTACGTGCTGGAGGACTCTAAGCATTTGCAGCACAAATTTGGAAGTCCGTACGTGCTAGGGGACTCTAAGCATTTTTAGCACAAGTCCTTAGTGCCAGGAGACTATAATGCAACTGCACCATTGATTTGAGATATCTCCCTTGTCTTGCCTTGTTTTGCCACTGACGGTTTACCACGTGGGTTTGTTTGTTCGGAATGCCATCACTTGCACTATATTGATGCTAGTAAGCATCCTTTGAAGCATTGAAAGATTCGCTAGATGGACTTGGTTCATCCCTTGACTTCGCACTAAATATGCTATGTATTGTTTGATAAAGATCTTGAATATCAGTCATGCAAACCCCTTTATTATTTATACCATTCACTGAGTATCCAAGCTCACCCTCTCTATATATATGTAGGTGACGAACAGGACGGCGGTGACGCCTAGACGTGCTTGTAACTTGTTTTGGATTTTTGCACTTTTGCAGCATCTTGAAGATCATGCTTCTTAGTTGTATTTCCTTGTATTTTGTAGTTGACGGCTTGAGAAGCCTTTTGGTCAAGATGTAATTTGTACTTTATTCCATTTGTATCTAAGACGTAAAACCATGATGTGTTTGTCATTTCATTTAGCTTATGCACTGCTCTTATGGACTACTTAGCTTTAAATTTATTGCTTCCGCACTTGTACGCCCCATATGTATACTCTGTTTGTGTGTGAACCTTTGCAAGTTGGCCTTGGGTAATTGTGAATTACTGGCCATCATGGCACCATTCTACTAGGGGCGGAATGGGGTCGTGACATGGGTACTTTACAGTTTTTTATGTGCTTGGTTGAAGAAATTTTTACCCATGACTATTATCTATGGTATATTTCAGTTAATAAAGTTTAATGTGTTTATTCACATTTTGTTTATAGTTATGTGTGTGTACACATAAATGGTAATTGTCATATATGTATACCTCTTATATGAGCTCTTACAGTTATATTTTAATTTTGAGATATAGAGATTAACGCTTTGGTTTAAAAGTGTATATGGATACATAAAGTATGATGCTTGGTTTAAAGCGTGAAAGACCTCGGTTTAGAGGAATAAAGGCTTCTTTTGGAAGTGTAAAATGGAATAAAATTCCTTGCAGGGTCTTGTCAAGACCATACAGAGGACTGAATATGGAATTAGCATGTTATATAATTTTTGGATCAATTATGCTGAAATTCCACACTACACTTTATCACATATAGGAATCCATGTTGGTGAGATATTAGTGTTTGTGACTGTGGAAGGTGTTATGTTGTTCAATAGCATAATTACCGCTACAGTTCGATATTAATATTTCTCATTGAACGGGATTCTGTGCTGAGATGTTTCTATTCTGAATCATGTTTATGTGGCCACTAAAGTTGTTTAACCCGAGAGTCATTTTTTCTCAAATAAAATATTTTCTTAAAGTAGTAGTCAATGTTGCCTAAGTGGGAGAATGTAAGAATTTATTCTTAATTAGGCTGTCATTGACTATATTTTGTTTGGTTTGTGAAAAACGGATTGAACGTGATTCAGATAGATTGACTGGTATGAGCCCAAAATTATTATTGTGATCCATAAAGTTTGGGCCATGGTTATCTTGGTGTATATATTATTTTATATGTGGATATGTGATATGGAGGTGTAAGGCCTGTTTTAAGTTATTTGGGTTCCTTAATGGGAGGGCCTAGTAATTGTTTTATTTAGGCCCAATCCCCTCTTATATTCTTATTAGGGTTTACATATATCTATATATATGTAGATCAAAGCGTTGTCAGCCCCATTGAAAGAAAACATAAAGGAGGGAAAGGTGCTAAGGTTTTCCAATTGTGAATGTCATATTCTTTCAAGGAAGCAAAACTCAAGACAATAACGAAATCAAACGGTATGTATCTAAGTTTATATTATAATAATTAATTATATTCATAGGGTTTTGATTTCTAATATCTTCGTCAGCCATCTATACACAACGTTGGCTCAGAAGGGAATTCACACCTTCAAAGACGATGAAAAGCTCAAAAAAGGAAAATCTATTTCTCTGGAACTCCGGAAAGCGATTCAAGAATCAAGGTTTTCAATTGTGGTTTTGTCCAATAACTATGCTTCTTCCAGATGGTGTTTGGATGAGCTTGTGGAGATACTTGAATGCAGCAACACAACTATTTATCCGATTTTCTATAACGTAAAGCCATCAGAAGTGCAAAGCCGGTGGATTTGCGGAATTGGTGTCCAAACAGGGAGTATTGGGGATGGAGAAGGTCCAAAGGAGGAGGAATGCTTTGGCGCAAGTTGCCAATTTATCAGGATGGCCTTACCCTAGTGATACAATTGTTAGGTATTTAATTAATATATTCTCCTTTTGTTCTCTTTTTATTTCTATAATTTAGATTGAAGATTCAATTCTGTTTGGTTTCATAAATAGTTTTTTTTTTCATATTTTAGTCAATTTTTTATTTTTATTTTTTAGATGCATTTAATCTATAATATAAATGTACTTAACAAGTAAAATACAAAAAAAAAAAAAAAAGGTTGCAAAAATGTATTTAATTTATATATATTTTTTGTATTTAGTAAATTAAAAAAAATAACAATTTTTTCCCTTTTAAATATATCTAGATTATGAAAATCTAAAAAAACAGAGAGAGTTATGTTTTGAAGTCATGTTTCTTAAATTTTAGTTGAATTATTTATGTTTGTCTTTTTTTATTTGTTTTACTATTCCCCTAAATCTATAGGTCTGAATCCATGTTCATCCAAGAACTTGTTGGGATACTTTTTAGAAAATTAAACCATACATATTCGAGTGTCTCCGAAGACTTAGTTGGGATGGATTCCCCTATGGAGAAAGTGATTGCATTTTTAGGATTAGGGATAGATGATACTCGTGCTGTGGGGATATGGGGAATGGGTGGAATTGGTAAGACAACTATTGCAAGAGCTATTTATGACCATATCTCTTCCCAATTTGAAGGTTGCAGCTTCATTGACAATGTTAGAGAAGTTTCAGCAAAAAGTGGTCTGAAAACTCTGCAAGAACAACTCATTTTCGAAATCTTAATGGAAAAAGATTTGAAAATAGGAAGTGTTGGTAGTGGAGTAAGTATGATAAGGAACATGGTATGCCGTAAAAAGGTTCTTATTGTTTTCGATAATGTGGATGAATCAACAGAACTTGAAAAATTAGTAGGAGAGCATCATTGGTTCAGTTTTGGAAGTAAAATCATTATAACAACTCGAAATCAACATGCATTAACTAGATATGGGATAACACATATTTATGAGGTTGAGGAATTAGGAGAAGATGATGCTATAGAACTCTTTAAATCAAAAGCCTTCAGGAAACACCAACAAATGGGAGGCTATGGATAACTTGTACATTGTGCCTTTCAAAAATAAACCCATAATCATACATTCATGATACAAGAAAGAGACAGTATATTCCATAAATCAGAGTATTTAATACAAGAGTGTTACATGTTGACAACAAAAGTAGATGCCGTACGGGCTTACAACTTTCCAAGTCAACACTTGGGTTCAACAAAAGAGAGTTCTAACTCTAAACATATTAAGCCCTTGGCTTGAATTACATGTAACACACAAAATAATCACAAAAATAAGCCTTCAGCTTCTACAACCTCCCAAGCTACATCCTTGGAGGCGGCATATCACTTGTACCTGAAAATGATGTCCCATATAGGGTGAGCCAACGCCCAGTAGAGATATGCTAAACATAATATGAGCAATAACTAAAACATTAGCACTTGATAAACATTT